GACCCTGACCTTTCCAAGAGATTGTAAGGTACATCCAAAGTTAAGAGGCAGTCTCAGCCAAGTGTGTGCATGCCTTTAATCCTAGCACTGAGGACTCAGAAGTAGGTGGGTCTCTTGACTTTGAGGATAACCTGTTCTACAGAATGAATTCCAGGACAGTCAAGAGTATTCAGAGAAACCCTATCTCTAAAAATAAAAGGAAAACTATGGAAGTACAGAGATTGTGACTTCTCTTATACTGAGTAAATGAGCCCAGAATTTTAACTCTGTTAAGAGCTTCCTGGTTGGTTTCCCATCCACACTGTCCTAACACTTCAGTCATGTCCACTATACTGAGATATGAGTAGAGAACAAAGCCAACTTGTTAGTTTACTTCATTGAAACAACTTTAAATTTTCTCTAGACACAGCACTTGTAACTGAACGCTGCGTAAATCCTTGAGCTTTTAAATAGGTAGATCTAGTACTTCCTGAAAACAACTGAATCTAACCATTGTTTTCCCTACAAGGTTGCATTTGCCATATGAACCCTTTTTACAAGTGTTAGTTGTGACAGGAACTTTGGTAGTAGAGTGTTTGGTAAGAAGGTTGACAGGCTCCAAAGTCATAAAGTAAACTTACATTTTGAGGGTGTTTGCTCAACACCCTCAGATATAGCTAGTATTTTTAGTTAATAAAAGGAAGATAATTTTGTCACCAAGCCCCAGTTGTGTCTGGAGTGTTTTCTGCTGGTTAATTGTTATTGGACAAGTATAGGATTAATGCTATCCCTTGCCATTCTCGGGTTTATGTCTTTTGTTCCTCACTTTGACACATCTGAAAGTCTAAACTTTCCATCTGTCTTCACAGAAGGTCCTCCATTAGTAGGTAAATCTCTTTGATCTTGTGACTAAACTGTCAAGTACCAGCACAAACCCTCTGAGATTTAGTCTCTCCCCGCCCCCAGCAGTATAATGGAGTTAGGACAGCTTTTAGATGAGTTAGAATCATGTTACAGACCGATTTAGATCTCTCAGACACTACCAAAAATTGCTAGATCAAATAGTTAGAAGGGTTAATGTAGATGGATGTTTTTGCCTCAAATAAACACACAAACATATTAATTATAAACTGTTTGGCCAATGGCCTTAGGCTTCTTACAGTATTTCAGGAAGTAGTTTATTTTCTGATGCATTTCCATTTTTAACTATTAAAATATATTTGTATAAAATACAAGAATATCTAAATAGGAATGGATAATTAAACCAATTAGGCTGTAGGTTCAGTAGCTAAAATGAATGGATTGACAGAAGGTAATTGAGAATTACCTTCCATAGAGCTAGGGGATGGTTTCATTGGTAAAACCTTGCCATGCAGGCATGAGGACCTGAGCTCACACTCCTGCCTCTAAATGAAAAAATTTTTTTTTTGTTTTTTTGAGACAGGGTTTCTCTGTATTGTTTTGGAGGCTGTCCTGGAACTCGCTTTGTAGAACTGGCTGGCCTCGAACTCACAGAGAACCGCCTGCCTCTGCCTCCCGAGTGCTGGGATTAAAGGCATGTGCCACCAACGCCTGGCTCTACATGAAAAAGTTGGCTTACTTGTAATCCCAACATTTGGGATTTAGAGATGGAAGGATCACTGGGGCCTGCTGGCCAGCCAGGCTATAATTGGCTGATTACCGGGTTCAGTGAGGGACCTTGTCTCAAACTCTAAGGCTGGTGAGGTGGCTACAGGTGAACATATCAAGACTGGGGACCTCCATAATATGTGTGTTGTGATGTGATAGCCCACATGCACACAACATGTGATTAAAAAGATGAGATGGAGGCGGAGGCAGGAGGATCTGCGATTCAAGGCTACCCTGGTCTACATAGTGAGCTCCAGAACAGTCAGGACCCTGTAACAAAAAACAAATGGCAGTAAGGCAGAAAATTGGTGTGTAGTGTGGGACATCAATTCCAACAGAAGCAGGCCTAGTCAACATAGCAAGATCCAGGCCAGCCAATGATGCATATAGTTAGAGACTGTCTCAAAAAAAGAAAAAAAAAAGTCCCCTCAAAAAAGAAAGAGAATGATAGAGGATACCTGACATTGATCTCTGGCCCCACATCTAGGTACACACACACACACACACACACACACACACACACACACCACACACACACACACACACACACACCACACACACACACACACACACACCATGTATACTCCTACACATGCGCCTAGGCATTCCAATTCTGGAAATATTCCTGGATATGCAACTAGAGAAAATACCAAAGGTTTTTTTGAATCCTATCTGCATTGCCAAGACAGTGGTAGAACATAGGCTTGGCATATAAAAGGCATGGGTTCAATACATCGTGTTAAAAGAAGAAAATGGTTGAAGTTTGTCAGTGAGGTGAGGCGGCACATAGCTGGGAACCTTGGGAGGGTTAGGCAGGAGGATGCCAAGTTCAGAGTCAATCTGCTGAATTTAGCAATATCTGCTCTCAACAGTGTACCCAACAGTGTCTACATAATAACAGTATACCTAATGTGTTCCCATAATGTCACTTTGAGTTCAGAGTTTGACTAAGAGATCCTGCCTCAGGCTGGGGTGATGGTTCAGAGGTTAAGAGCACTGGCTGCTCTTCCAGAGGTCCTGAGTTCAATTCCCAGCAACCACATGGTAGCTCACAGCCATCTATAAGGAGATCTGGTGCCCTCTTCTGGCCTGCAGGCATACATGCAGACAGAACACTGGATAAAAAAATAAATAAATAAAGCTTACAAAATTCTGCCCCAGAGAGTAAGGGGAAAGAGTAGGCATGTATGTGCCCACAGCCTCTGCAAACATGTATTACATACCTACCACACACACACAGGAAGAGGAGTGAAAAGGGAAGAATTGAGTCACCGAAGGGACAAAGAAGTGAATGTGAGGAAAAACCATTCGTTTCATTTTGTTTTTAATGGCAGCACCCGTTTGGACCTGGGTGTCTTGGGACTCTATGGAGATGAGGAGAGTGTCAAAATTCAAGAGATCCTCCCGCCTCTGCTTCCCAAATACTGGGATTAAAGGCCTGTGCCACCTGGACCAGTCCAAACCAGTGGTTTTTTAAAATTTTGTTTCGTTTTGTTTTAAAAAGAAACAAATTTAGCTGGGTGTAGTAATGCACAGTTTTCATCCCAGCACCTGGGAGGTAAAGACAGAAGGTTCTCTGTGAGTTCGAAGCTAGCCTGGTCTCTGCAGAGTGCCAGGACAGCCAGGACTACACAGAGAAAGACCTTGTTTAAAAAAAAAAAGTAATTTTATTGATTTATACTTGTTTGCATTGTTTATCCTCTGTGTGAGAGGTTTTCGTTTTCAAGATAGGATCTCTCTGATTTTTGTGTTTGTTTTTCCAATACAGGCTTTCTCCTTGTAGCCCTTCCTGCCACTTACTCTGTAGACCAGGCTAGCCTTGAACTCAGAGATCCACCTGCTGGGATTAAAGGCATATGCCACTAGGCTTGGTGAGGCAGAATCTCTTATAGCCAAGGCTAGCCCTGTATTTTGCAAAATTTCCCCCATATATTTTAAGGCCCATTTTATTATTTTCAAGCAAGTTTATTCTTTCTTCTAAATTCAGTCTTTCATCATTAGGTAATTCCTTTCTTCTTCTAGTAACCTGTTTTTCTGCCACCAGGACAAGCTAGTTGTCAACTCTGAGTACACCTGTTTTGTTGTTGTTTTTCTCTGTGGCTTTGGAGGCTGTCCTGGAACTAGCTCTTGTAGACCAGGTTGGTCTAAACTCACAGAGATCCACCTGCCTCTGGAGTGCTGGGATTAAAGGCGTTCGCCATCACTGCCTGGCGAGTAAACCTGCTTTTTGTTTTGTTATGGTGCTGGGATTTGAAACTGGGCTTCGTGTAAGCAAGGAAAGCACTCCAGCAAACGAACTACATAGCTAACCCTGTCTGTTTTTTGAAGACAGGGTCTCTATAGTCGTGGGCATAGGTTCAAGCAAATAGAAACTCTATCTGGGACCCCCGTACAGTCCCAAGCCTATCTCAGGGTGAGTTTTTAATCTCCTGGGTTAAAAACACTTCAGCTAACAAGAACCGTTATCCAGAAGCAGAGCTACAGAAGCCCAAAAATTAGTACTTTCTCAGAACTATGGATGTTAATGGATTAGCGCGCTCTCTCCCCCCCCACGGCAGATATTGCTGCCTAAGTCTAAGTGCTAGGCTCCAAGGCCGGAAAGATACTTCTATCATGCTGTCTGCTGTGCTAAGGTGTGGGAGCCTACTGAGCTCTGCGGGCCTGTTAAAGTCTTGGCTGTCCTGGAGCTCACAATGTAGCCCAGGCTGGCCTTGAATTCAGAGGGATTCTCCTGCCTCTGCCTTTCAAGTGCAGGATTAACACCTAGGCTCCCAACCCTGAGGACTCGGGACGTGACACTGCCACTGCCCAAGCTAGCAGACATTCTAACCGTGGAGCTGCGTCCAGGGTTTGGATTTCCCAAGAGACCCACAGCGATCTCTGCGGGATCGGGGAGATCTAAAGCAAACAAGGCTTGGGTGCCAAGATCCGAGGATAACCGCAAGAGCCTACGGCGGCGCCGGGGCAGGTTCGGGCCTCGGGGCGGCGCCCGGCCCCGCAGAGGCCGGAGTCTGGAGGAGGCGGTGAGCGCGGGCGATGCGCGGGCTCCGGCCGGGTTGCGGGCACTGGCCCGCGGCCTCCACCACGGCACGGCCGCCTCTCGCGAGACAGGGTCCGGGCCGCACCTCCTTCCTCTCTGCCGTCCCTCTCTCTTCTCCCCGCCCCTGAGCGGCGGCGCCGCTTCCTCCTGAGCCGGGGAACCTCGGACGTGGCGGGGCCGCTCCAAGCCCGGAGTGCCTCACACACAAGTTCCCCCGGGCGGAATTTCCGCGCTGCACTCCATCCAGGGCGCGCCGACCCGTCTTTCCAGGTACACAGCGCCGGCGGGCCGGGGAAGGCCGGAGCGGGGCGCCACACCTGGGAGGGCAGGGGCGGGCGGGGCTCGCGCACGCGCGCTGAGGGGGCCTGCGGGGCCCTGGGGGAGCGGGGCGTCGCGTAGCGCCGCCCGGGAGGCTCCCGTCCTCCGCCTCAGCTCGGAGAGAGCCGGGAGGATGGCTTCGGAGATGGAGTCGTCGCTGGAGGTCAGCTTCTCGTCCAGCTGCGCCGTGTCGGGGGCGTCCGGGTGTCTGCCTCCCGCCCGCTCCCGCATCTTCAAGATCATCGTGATCGGCGACTCGAACGTGGGCAAGACGTGCCTGACCTACCGCTTCTGCGCCGGCCGCTTCCCCGACCGCACCGAGGCCACGATCGGGGTGGACTTCCGAGAGCGAGCGGTGGAGATCGACGGCGAGCGCATCAAGGTGAGCCGGTGGAGGGGGCGCTGGGGTGGGGGCGGTGGCTGCCCGGGCTTTGCGTCTGTCTGGACCCGCACCGTGGCTCCGTGCGCCCCGCGTGCTGCCACGCTGGCGTGCAAAGTGCTTTTGTTGGTAGCAAACTTCCGAGGCGGTGTCCCCTCCTCACCCCTAAGGTGCATCAACTTTACCTGGGGCATCTTGTCTTCAAAAGAGAAGCACGTATGATTTATGATTTGGTAAGTTCCCAAATGACGCACAGGCAACGTGGGGGTGTCAGTGGTGTAGGGGACAGTCTTTAATCCCCGCCCCCATTGCCCGAGTTAAGTGCCGGGAAATATTTTCAAGCATAGAAAACTCAGGTTATTTCTTTTCATTTGAACATTACATCAATGCTAAATATATTGTGGAAATAAAGCCTGTTGCGTTTGAGGCAGTTTCTTTATGATAACCAATATGATAATCTATTTTCCTATTGAAGCATTATGTGTGTGATGGTTCGTAAGTCTTGATGCAAGCGTAGACCGTCTCCCAGGTGGCTTCTGAGACGTCAGACACTGTAATCATAGTAGGGAAAGCCAAGACAGCCAGGACTGGGATTCTGAAGGGTTGAATTCCTGGGACTGCAGAATAAGGACCCTTGTCGAGTCAGGGACCTCCTGATGGTGTAAACCTTGACACTCTATTGCAAAACCACTAAGTTTACTTAATACTACTCCTTAAAACCTGTGAAGTCGGGGTGGGGGACTACAGTGAGACCCCATCTCAAAATACGAAAACAAATCAAAACCTGCACAGGAAACCTAGGAACTACCCTGACTTCTTTGGCAGCTGCTTTTACTCTGCTTTACTTGGGTCCTCTACCTCAGTCTACTTAGAAGAGCTTTGATTTGCCCCTCCTACCTTCTATCCTTGAGGCACTGAGTTTCTGTTTTTTGTTTTGTTTGTTTGTTTGCTTTTTGAGACAGGGTTTCTCTGTGTAGCTTTGGAGCCTGTCATGGCACTCACTCTGTAGACTAGGCTGGCCTCAAACTCACGGAGATCCGCCTGCCTCGGCCTCCTGGGAGCTCTGGGATTCAAGGCATGCGCCCCCACTTCCTGGCCAAAGTTTCTGTTTCTTTGCTCCCCACCCCTCCCTGCCCTCAAAGAGCTTTTACTCCTAGCAATGAAAAGGGGAAGTCATCCGAGTCAAGAGACCACCTTCTCTAGGCCCTTGTCTTTTCCATTCCCATTTATTTTTATGTGTGGGGGTGCACATGTGTGCATAAGAGTGTGTGTGTGTGGGGTTAAGTCTAGACTCTATATGTTCACGCCAGTCTTCTGAAGTTGCTCTCCATGTTACATTTCTGAGGCAGTCTCCTAATGAATCTGGAGCTCAATGACTAGCAAGCCCCAGGGATCCTCCTGATTCTGGCCCCCTAGGTCTGGGATTGCAGGTGTTGAGGTCCAAATTTAGCTTGGTCAATACTTTCTTCTTCTTTTTTTGGGGGGTGGAGGGAAGGCAAGTTTCTCTGTGTAGTTTTGGAGACTGTCCTGGAAATCTCTCTGTAGATCAGGTTGGTCTCGAACTCACAGAGATCCGCCTGCCTCTGCCTCCCAAGTGCTGGCATTAAAGGTGTGCACCACAGCAGCAAATACTTCCTTGACTGGGACTGATCATCTTGTTCAGGCTGCCAGTGCTGCTCATCTGGGTACACTGCAGTATAAAGGAGATTCATGAGAACAGGGTGTGATTCAGTGGTAGGGGCTTACTAGCATATGCAGGGCCAGGTGTTTTATCCTTAGCGGGAGCCGAGGAAGGAGGTTTGTATACTTGGCAAGGAGAGAGAGTTGGGTGGAGGTGATTTTTTTTTTAAACAAAACTGGGTTAGGTATAGACATTGGTGGCGGGAGAAAAGATGGAGGCTTCTGGTGAGTTCTTGCTAGCCTGGGGTGAGCAGCTGTGGGGAAGTTGCTCAGGCTTTGGAGCCTGACTCAGGTGGAGTGTGCGCTGCTGAGAAGCTTTGGGTTGTGGTGTAGCTTGAATTTGTCTCCTGAGCTCACATGTTGGAAACTTAATTCCCAAGTTCCTAAATTAATGAGACTTGGAGGTGGGACATATGGGAGGTGACTGGGTCCTTTGGATTTATGAATGGGTTAATCCCTTCGTAGATTAATTAGACTAATCTGTTGATGGGGTAAGTTCATTCATAAATTAGTGGATTAATCTCATTTATGGATTAAAGGGATATTGGGAATGGCTTGTCTGCCTGTAAAGCCATGAACCAAATAAAAGTCTCTGTTCTTTAGTCAGCCCTGGAAAGTTTTGTTATAGCATCAGAAAACAGGCTAATGTATATGGGCTGTCAGGCTTTTTGCTTTTCTGGCTTTTTTTTTTTCAGTTATATTTTTTGTATATTTATTTGAGTCTTCTTTTAAATTAAAATTTATTTATATTTCTTGTGCATTAGTGTTTGCCTATATGCATGTCTAAACTGGGTGCTGCCGTGTGGGTGCTGGGAATTGAACCTGGGTCCTGTTGAAGGGCAGCCAGTGCTCTTTTGTTTGTTTCAAGACAGGGTTTCTGGATGAAGGCTCTGCGATGGCATTTAAGGTAGTCTTCAATCTCATTATAGGGGAAGGGCATTTAAGGCAGCCTCTCACTATTGCTTAGATTCTTAGTTGGGGTCATCCTTGTGGATTCCTGGGAACTTCCCTAGTGCTGGATTTCTTGTTAAGCCCATAGAGGCTCTCTCTATTAAGCTGTCTCTTTCCTTGCTCTCCTTCTCTGTTCTTCCTCCACTGGACCTTCCTGATCCCTAATCTTCTCCTCCCCTCTCATCCTCTCCCCTCCTCTTTTTCCTCCCTCTGTCCTCCTTTCCCCCATGCTCCCAATTTACTCAGCAGATCTTGTCCCTTTCCCCTTCTCGGGGAGTCCATGTGTCTCTCTTAGGGTCCTCCTTGTTCATCCAGTAGCTGATGGAAGCAGAAGCAGAGATTCACAGCTAAGCACTGAGCCAAACTCCTGGAGTCCAGTTGTGGAGAGGGAGGAGTGATGAGCAAAGGGGTCAAGACCATGTTGGGGAAACTCACAGAAACAGCTGGCCTGAGCAAGTTTGGCAGCTCACAGACCCCAGACTGACAGCTGGGGACCTGCATGAGACAGAACCAGGCCCCCTGAATGTGGGTGTCAGTTGGGGGGCTTGGGCAGTCTATGGGACCGCTGACGGTGGAATCAGTGTATCTATCCCTAGTGCATGAATGGGCTTTCGGAACCCATCCCCTATGGAGGGAGACTCTCTCAGTCTAGATACAGAGGGGAGGGTCTTGGTCCTGCCCCAAATGATGTGACAGACTTTGATGATCCACCACGGGAGGCCTCACCCCACCCCCCAGTGGATGGGGCATGGAATGGGGAGATGGAGGGGGGAATGGGAGGACGGAGAGAGAGGGATTTGTATGTGAAATAAGATTGTTTTAATATATATATATATTTTTAAGATTCATTTATTTATTACATATACAGTGTTCTGCCTACATGCCAGAAGAGGACACCAGATTTAATTGTAGATGGTTGTGAGCCACCATGTGGTTTCTGGGAATTGAACTCAGGACCCCCGGAAGAGCAGTCAGTGCTCTTAGCCTCTGAGCCATCTCTCCAGCCCCCTTAATTTATATTTTTGGTTGTGAGCCTACCCTTTAATGTCTGAGCCATCTCTCCAGCCCAGTTTTTAATTTAAATTAAAAAAGACAGGGCTTCTCTGTGTAACAGCCTGGCTGTCCTCAAACTCAATTTGTAGACCAGGCTGGCCTCCTGAGTGCTGGGATTAAAGGCACTTTAACCACTGAGCCATGTCTACCCTGAGGCAGTCTTCCTATGTAGCCCTAACTGTCTGGAACCCTCTTTGCAGACCAGGCTGCTCTCTAACTCACCTAGATTCACTGCCTTTACCTTTATTCCCAGCACTTGGGAGGCAGAGGTAGACAGATCTCTGAATTCTCAGCTAGCCTGGTCTACATTAAGTGCAGTGACTCTTTTTGTTTGTTTTTTGAGACAGGGTTTCTCTGTGTAACAGTACTGGCTGTCCTGGAACTTGCTCTGTAGACCAGGCTGGCCTTGAACTCACTGTGATCCGCCTGCCTCTGCTCCCGAGTGCTGGGATTAAAGGTGTGCACTGCTCTGCCTGACTAGCGCAGCCGTTCTTAACCCGTGGGGAGGGGGTGTCGAATGACCCTTTCACAGGAGTTGCTGAAGACTGTCAGGAAACACAATCTTTACATTAGGATCACTAACAGTAGCAGAATTACAGTTGTGAAGCAGCAATGAAAAAATTCATGATTGGGGGTCACCACCACATGAAGAGCTGTATTAAAGGGTTGCAGCATTAGGAAGGTTGGGAACCACTGACATAGTGAGTTCCAGAAAAAAGAAAATTCACAGGTATGAGGAATAGTTTCTTAAACCTAGGATCTGTTTAAGTCAGTCATTGGCTTAGAATGAAGAATGTACTTACTTTTCTGAAAAACAAAAAAATCTCACCAGCCGGGCGTTGGTGGCACACGCCTTTAATCCCAGCACTCAGGAGGCAGAGGCAGGCGGATCTCTGTGAGTTCGAGGCCAGCCTGGTCTACAGAGCGAGTTCCAGGACAGCCTCCAAAGCCACAGAGAAACCCTGTCTCGGAAAAAAAAAAAAAACCAACAAAAAAAAATCTTACCAAGTTATGGAGCCATGGGTGGGTGTGGTAGTGTCCATCTTTAATCCTAACACAGGAAGCAGAGGCAAGCAGATCTGAGTTTGAGGTCAGCCTGGTCTACATGGCAAGTTCCAGGACAGTCAGGGAACAGTGAGACCCTGTCTCAAACACCTGCCTGCACAAGAGTGCGTGCACACACACATGCACACACACACACACACACACACACACACACACACACACACACACACACACACACACACACACACACACACACACGTCCTCTTCGTCTGTCTACCTGTTCGGGGCATCTGACAGATCACCTTAGTCTCATCTGCTAGAGAAGCATGCATTGGTTATGGTGGTGGTGGTGTTAGGGCTTGGATCCAAACCCTGCCTGTTAGGTGAGTGCTCTACCACCTCTACAGCTAAGCTACACCCCAGGCACCTAAAAATATTTTTTGTATCATGTGTACTGGTGCTTCCTGCATGCATGTTTGTGTACTGTGTGTGTGCAGTGCCTACAGTGGCATTAGCTTCTTCTGGAACTGGAATTACAGATGATTTTAAGCCACCATGTGGGTGCTGGGAATCCACTCCTGGTCTTTCGGGAGAGCAGCCAGTGTTCTTAACCTCTGAGCCATCACTAAAGCTCTCTATGCCTTTAAAAAAAAAGGGGTCTCATGTACCCAAAGCTGACTTCAAAGTCTGTATAATCAAGGATGACTTTGAACTCTGTGTGTGTGTGTGTGTGTGTGTGTGGCCAGAGGATGGTGTCAGATGTTTCTTTCAGTTTCTCCATTGCTGTGTTTTTTGAGACAGGGTTTCATTTCCCATACCTAACCTTGAACTTGTAAATCTCCTGTCTTTACCTCCTGGGTCCTGGGATTACAGGCAAGCACACATGGTTTATGCAGTGCTGGGGATTGAATCCAGGGCTGTGTGTGATGGGCAAGCATTCTGTGGACTAAGCTCTGTCCCCATCCCTTTGTGTATAAAATCTTTGTAAACCTTTCCTTAAGCTAGGTGTGGCGGCACATGTCTTTACTCTCAGCACTCCTGAAGCAGAGGTGGATAGATGTATGAGTGACAGGCCTGCCAGAGATCCATAATGTGAAGTTGAGCCAGGAGGATGGCCTGAAATTCAAGGCTAACCTGACTACTTCATGAATCGCAGGCCTCCTTGTCTCAAAAAAACAAAAAACAGAAAAACTGAGCCAGACATGAAAGCACACCTTTAATTCCAGCACTCACAGATCAATCTACAGAAGGCTCCTCAGACTATGCAGCTACGTAGTTGAGCTGTGTGTCAATGGTCACCAAGCCTTAAAAAGAGTCTCCCTTTCTAATTCCAGGACAGCCAGCGCTACACAGTGAGAGCCTGTCTAAACATACACAATATAAAAGAAAGAAAACAAAACCCCAGAAAGTCTGTACTTGCTAATTGATTTCTGAGTGCTGTATGTATATGCTTGAAAGAGGGAAATCTTGTTCACAGAATTTTGGCAGATGAATAAAAATGAATTCCTTAAATAAAAATGCATTTGACTTTCAAACTGGCTGTCTTAATCCGTCTTAATCCATATGTTTCCTCCTTGGCTGTTTAGCGGTGTTCCTCTCTCAACAGACACGTTGCCCTGACAGGTGCTTCAGTAAAGCCTGGTGTGTTGAGATTTAATCCAGTCCTCCATCAGGGATCAGCAGTCACTACTCAAATATGTCAGTTGTTTCTAGCGGGAGAAGAGAGATTTTGCCATGTTAAAGACAAGATGTTAATATTAGCTAACGAGAAACAACTGAGATATCTCCTCCCCATAAATCAAATATATTAAGCATACAGAATGCTGGTACAGTGTAAGGAGTAGGAAACTGTGACAGTCAAATGCTCTACTTCCTGTTTTTGTGTGACATGTAATCTAAGAATGAGCTTTGTATGATTTTCTGTGCTGGGGATTGAACTCAGGGTTTCTTCATTACCTGCTACATAGCCAGTATCTAATCCCTAAGCTGTACCCCCAGCCATGTTTTTGTATGGTTGGAGAAAATGAAAATTATATAAAATTCAGAATCTACCAGATCATCCTGATGTAATCATTATCCTTTACTCCCTAAATCCACCTGGCTTCCTACTGCAGTTTTTCCAGTAGGAAACTCCTCTCATGAAAATCCTAGCTGCAGTATCCTTTTAAGCCTCCCTTGGAGGTGATGGAGCACTTGTCTGGCATGTTCAAGACAATGGATTTCATCCTCCGTACTGGGAAAAACTTCAGACCTGCCTTTGAACTTTGTGCAGCTCAGCTGATCTCATTTAGGAACAGCTAATACAAGCCTCCCTTTGCCGGGTGCCTGCTGCCTCTTCCTCCAGTCCTGGAGGTCAGCCAGGTTGTTTGCTGGTTCTCGCTGTGTGCTTGGAGTATCCCTCCTGCCTGTATTTTCCTGAGAGATTTTCCTTCTATGGAAACCTCCATAGCACTCCCATCAAACGGGATCATCTTACTGTATTGTGCATCTGTCTTCCCTGTTAGGGCAGGATCTGGGTCTGATAATGCCCCTATTTGTGGGTTAGAGCTCAGGGCCTAAGTGTTGAGTTATGCAAACAGGTCAGTTGACAAAGCGACAAAGAAAGCTAATGAGAAGACAGGCGACAAAGCACAAAATACCAGGTGATTGTTGAGGCTACAGCCAAAGGTTTCAGTCACAGTCTTTCGTTGATGAAGGGCGCCCACCTAGGCAGGTGGTGGTAACTGGAGGCGATAACTCCAGCAGCAAAGGTCTGAGAGTGAGGCGGAGCATCCACTTTAGGGTTTTAAAGAAAGATTTCGTTTATTTTTATTTTATGTGTATGAGTGAATATGCATCATGTGTGTGCCTGGTGCCCACAACGGGGCCAGAAGAAGATGTTGGGTTCCCACAATGAGGGCGATGAGGCCCAGAGTGGATGGCCCAATGGCGAGACGCCCTTGACACTTGACACCCTGCGTCCCTCAAGTGTCTCCCTGACCTGCATGTGCTCATCACGGCTTGTGTGCACCTGTATGCAGGCATGTGTGTGCTTGCAGGATAAAATAAAAACCACTCAGTACATTTGACTCAGTGTTGGCCTTTCATAGCTCCAGCCCACAAATTTCTGAGTGTTTTGTAACTTTTCCCCTCAATTTTCTTTAAAAAAATAAAACATTATTTTTAAGACCATACTTTTCAGATTTTATCATCTGTATTTCTAGTCACATGGTGACTAGACTAGAATCATGATGTCTAGACCCCACAGGTAAGACAAGCTGGAAAGTGGCGAGGTGTTAGGGAGTAGGGAGAGGTGGTTAAGTTGCTTGGTACCTGTCACGGGACTCAACTTGTTGACTTTGCCTTCTGCTTGCCACGCCTCAGATCCAGCTGTGGGACACCGCAGGACAGGAGCGGTTCAGGAAGAGCATGGTCCAGCACTACTACAGGAACGTGCACGCTGTCGTCTTTGTGTATGACATGACCAACATGGCCAGCTTCCACAGCCTGCCATCTTGGATAGAGGAATGCAAGCAACACTTGCTGGCAAATGACATACCTCGCATTCTGGTTGGAAATAAATGTGACTTGAGAAGTGCCATTCAGGTGCCCACGGACTTGGCACAGAAGTTTGCTGACACACACAGCATGCCTTTGTTTGAGACCTCTGCCAAAAACCCCAATGATAACGACCACGTAGAAGCTATATTTATGACATTGGCTCATAAGCTGAAGAGCCACAAGCCACTGATGCTCAGCCAGCCTCCCGATAACAGAATTTACCTGAAACCTGAAGCAAAGCCTGCCGTGACGTGCTGGTGTTAAGTCATAGGGATGTCTGGCGTGGGTCTGACTGAGTCTGAAGGGACACTTCCGAGTAAGAGTAATTAAGTTTGTAAGATTCATTTTATTTTTTTATTTTTTTTTATTTTTTGGGTTTTTTGAGACAGGGTTTCCCTGTGGCTTTGGAGGCTGTCCTGGAACTCGCTCGGTAGACCAGGCTGGTCTCGAACTCACAGTGATCCGCCTGCCTCTGCCTCCCAAGTGCTGGGATTAAAGGCGTGCGCCACCAACGCCCGGCAAGATTCATTTTAAAGGCAATGGATCCTCCCACTGTTACCGTTGTTGCTCTGCCTTTTGTATCCCGCATTCTCTTAATAAGTTTGTCACTGTGACAACACAAAGAAAAGGCCAGTTTACAGTTGGGATTGAAGCAAAGATAGGAGGACCCAGGCTGTCTTTCCAGTGCCAGCCCGGGGAAAGCAGCCTCCGGTGAGCAAGATGGGCTCAGGCCTGGTTCCACCCCATGTCCCTGGACCATGAAGGAAGTGTGTGTAGGGCAGGCACACTTACTGAGCAGAGCTAAAGGCAAGTGACAAGTTAATAAGGTGCTTTTCGTTTCCTGTGGCATCTAAGCACTAAGAAACTAATCAAAAGAACCCACTTGGAGTTTATTTTACCCATGACTTTTAATTGAAATGTCAAAGCAGGCTCCTGGGTCCCTTGCCCTCTGCTCCTAGTCGGTTGGGAGACTCAGGGCTGATTCTGTCGACGTCCATTTGGCTGAGGGCTCTGAGGGCATGCCTCAAGTTGCTGAGTCTACATGTTTTCCTGTAATAGTATTGTTGGGTCAGTTTTTTTTTTTTTAATGTTTGAATTTTATGGCCATAAACTGCTCCTTGGTATAGAAAATGAGTTAAATATTGAAAATTATCTTATCTGCCCCTCACTGGTGAAAGAAATTGTTTTAAGAAATTTTGTTTTGCTCTAAATACTTTCAGTTTGAATTTAAGACTTTGCACAAAGAAAGTAACACATTTGCATATGAAGCTGTTTGCAGAATGGGTGTAAATCGTGCTTGGCCTCATTCTGACATCGTACAGCCCTGGGCAATTTTACAGGAAATTAGGAAATTAAGCCAAAATAGGCACTCAAACCTAGTTTCGGATTTTTTGTTTCATTATTCTGAAGGTCCCAGTTGGAAACTTTAGTTACAAAAGCAAGTTTATTCTATTTAATGAACTAAGTGTAAGTAAGACTTTTAAGAGATGGGTGTACAATTTTAAATATTAGGGCCCAGGTTGGCTCTATTTGCACTTAGAGAGATTTTCTTTTTTTAAGTATGGGGTCTCACTTTGTAGGCCTGATTGGCCTGGGACCAGGGTAGTCTGAGACCACCTGCCTCATCCTCCAACTGCAGGGGATTAAAGGCTTGTGCTCCAGAACTAGCCTGTTAACACTTTTCTTAATCATGCTAGAATTAAAGATTAAAAATTGTCTTACCTAAATTAATACTGATCGTGAACTATTTTTCTAGTGAAACATGGCTGTAGTAGCTGGCGCTGTAGAAGGATTTACAGAAGGGAGTCTGTTCCTTGTTTTTCCCACTCTGTCCAACTGGGGAAAGAACAGGTAGGATTCCCGCACATCTGTACGGTCCTCAGTATGCCTTTTAAAGTAACAGACCGTTTCTTTTTGTAAGGCGTTAATGAGCATTCTTTACAATTCTGTGAAAAGCCTCATTTCTTCCCTTAGTATTTATTAATTAAAACATTTGTATCTTATTTGTAACAACCTACCACCTTAGCAGTTTCTTCTTTTAAAAAGATACTTATCACAAAACAATACAGAGAAACCCTGTCTCGGGAAAAACAACAACAACAACAAAAAAAGATACTTATCAGGAGAGCAAGATTCTCTTTAGATGTATTCCAAAGTGTTTGTGAATGAATGGCTGTTGACATCACTTCCAGAATAATGGTGAGCTGACATGTAGTTACTAATTTTTAAGCACAAATCACACATTTTGTATCTCTGTGAATTTATTTTATCTGACATTTAATTGGAAGTATCAGATGCTTTAGAAAAATCTTAGTTTGAGAACCCAAAGCAAACTACTGTAGAATGTGTTGAGGTTGGCTGTAGACTGCTTGATTGTACTGCTCTTTCATGTTTCTTCAACAAGTTCAGTAGTTTGCTGTACGAAACAGTGTCACGCTTACATTTCTCCTATGAAGTAAATAAATCATCTTTGCCATGAAGAAATCGTGTTCTGTTTTCCTTGTTTTCTGTGTTGAACATAAAGAAGAACATACCTCCTTCCCTGTCTGCTGTAGTTTTTAGAAAATATATATAGCCTGTAGTTCCTTAATTTGAAAAATACAAAATCTGGTATTTATTTCATTTAGAAACTTTCAGATTTTGGATTGGGATATTTTTAGATTGGGTATTCTGAACCGATGAAGTTGATGTAGATAACTAAAAACAAATCCAAAGTCTAACACATAAGGGGGTTCTCAAGAATGCTTAGTGCAGACAACCCAGGTTCTAAAATGGCTGGTGTGTTTTTAGCAGAGTGAACGAGTACTAGAGATGGAGAAGGCAGAGTGTGTCAGGCACACGTCTAACCTAGTGTGGCGGTGGGCTTTCAGGGGACCCTGCTCCTGCTGCTCAGCTGCGTTACCTTAGTTACTCTTGCGTTCCAGTGCTGGTCTACATCCAGACAGCTGTCTTCATCTGATCCTGGGCTCATCAGTTGGCCATGTCCTTCAGACATGTGTGTGCAGGTGTCTGTGGAGCCCAGAAGACAGGATCAGATCACCTGGAGCTGTAGTTACAGACGCCTCAGGCACCTAGCATGGGCACTGGGGACTTAACTTGGGTCTTCTCAGTCATGGATTGGCATGTCCTAGATTTGCTAGAACTAGCATACGCTAATTTACTTGGTGTACTGAACTAATCTTGTCTATCCATTGTTTACCAAATTCCAACTATGTATTCTCCAGCGACGGTAGGCTGTGGAGTTATGGAAACAAATAGGATTGTCTTTGAATAGCTTACAGTGTACATAAGGGACTAGAGATGGCTCAGTGGTTAAGAGTGCTGGGCGTCTCACAGCCACCTATAACTGCAGCTCCAGGTGATCTGATACCTTCTTCTGGGCTCCACAGGCACTTGCGTACACGTGGCATACACTGACACACACACATACATACAATAAATGATAGGTGAGTGCATGGATGTCACACTTAGGAACAAATCAGACTTCCTCTTGGAATAGTTTGACCAAGAGTGAGTGTAAATGTGACTTCCCCCTTTCTCTCCCAGTGTCTCCATCTGTAGTTGGTGGTTTCTGACCTGTCTGTAGCCCCTGGGTTGTGGGTCTGATCTATTCTCATTGCCTGCCTGTGTTTCCTGTGTGTTATGCCTGCCCTAGCAAAGGGCTCTGTTCTGTATTTATTGACCAGCACAGGAAACATAGTATGGGGAAGAAATGAGGGTTTCTTTACAGAACTCTTCAACAGGTTTACATGGGAAGGAACCACTGACCTCAGCTGACCCACAATAACACTCAAAACCTCACACAGCCTATCAACCGATACCACTACCTTCTAACATTTATGGTGGGTATTCATATTGTTCACTTTCAACCCACTGGCTGCTTTCAGTAAACACACACACAGGCATACATGCACACTCATACACACACACACACACACACACACCACGCACTATTCTGGTTCATGGAAGAGTACATAATTTTTAAGAATAAAGCTAGGTTGTAAAAGCTGATTGCATGGAAAATCCAAAGCATATTAAGAGTGGTTACATTGTGTTGGAGAGATGGATGGCTCAGAGGTTAAGAGCACTGGCTGTTCTTCCAGAGCTCCTGAGTTCAATTCCCAGCAACCACATGGCGGTTCACAACCATCTATAATGAGATCTGGTGCTCTCTTTGGGTGTATAGGCAGAATATTGTGTACACAATAAATAAACAAATCTTAAGAAAAAAAAGATTGATTACATTGTTCTCTTAAAGACAGATTAAACAGGCTGAGTACACAGTAGGACAGCAGGTGAAGCGCATAGTCTTTTTGTTTTGTTTTGTTTTTCGAGACAAGGTTTCTCTGTAACAGCCCTGACTGTCCTAGAGCTTGCTTTGTAGACCAGGCTGGCTTCGAACCACAGAGATCCACTTGCCTCTGCCTCCCAAGTACCAGGATTAAAGGTGTGCACCACCACTGCCTGGCAAAGCACATAGTCTTAAATGGCCTCTAGGTATATTATTAACTTGGCTTTGAGGTCTAGCAAAAGTTCACATGTAGCCCAGGCCCGGATGTAGCTGACAGAAAGCTTGCCTAATGTGCTCAGACCCCTGGGTAGGAGAGCCAGTAACACACCCAATAAGCATGGTAGGTCCTCTGGAATCCCAGCTCTCTGGAGGTAGGGCCAGGAGGATCAGGAGTTCTGTGTTACTATTGGCAACCTAGTGAGTTCAATACCAACCTAGACAACATGAGAGCCTCCCTAAAAAACAAAGATTAAAAAGAAAAAAAGGTGAAAAGCATTTCAGAAGGAGTTTGTAGGAATCTGACTCCTCTCTTGGACTCACTGGGGAGCTGAGGTTGACCTTGACTTTCTGACCAAGTCCCACGCTGAATGTTTTCCATTTTTCTGGCTCAGTAGGGAGGAAAACATGGTCACTGACCATTTCTGATGCTGGGTACTGTAACCTTCTAGACAGAAATGAACTGATTGTCAAGCAGTTTCTAGAATGGACTGTTGATTGGCCTGGCCAGTCAGATGCTTGCCCAAGGCTGTCATCTTAAGATGAATAAATAAATAAACAAATAAGGCAGTGTTCACATTTTAGGAGAGAAGAAATTTGGGGTAAGGGAATAAAAAAAGAAGCAGCTGTGACGACCTCACAAAACCATTTGAGCTTTACTGTAAATGGGTAATAAATGAGACCATTTAGCAGGCTAGGGACATGGTCACACTTATTCTGGGAATTCTGTGGCAATGAAGGGTATGTGGAAATGAGGTCATGGTGACAGTTGACTCACTGTAATGGGCTAGAAGACCGAGCTCTAACTGAGGTGCTGGCAGAATGTGCCGTTCACCTATAATCCCAGCGCTAGGGAGATGGAGGCAGGAGGAGCACACTTTAAAGGTCATTCTCGCCTACACAGTGAGTTGAGACCAGCCTGGGTCGAGATTCTGTCTCAAAACTGGATGGGTGAACGAATGATTAATAAAAATCTAGAAGGTTGATAGTACTGTGCCATGTTAGGGCACTTGCTTGAGGCCCTAGGTTCAATACCCTGTGCCCAACACAATAAATACATAAAGTAAAAGGGACCGAGGGTTTGGGGTAGCTTTCGTAATCACTAGGTGGACCCAGGAAAGAAGTGGATGTGACAAACACAGCAACGGCAGCACCCAAGAGAAGATTCACTCGAGTCCCCTGCCACTACGGCTCTCCTCAGCACCTGTGACGACCAGGGCCTGCCATCGGCGTGTCCCCAGAGTTGCTGCTGAGTACTAAATAAAGCCTCCAACATTGCGCTGCCCAAGAGGTCCGTTCGCCCTGTTACCACATCCCTGCCTGCATACCCTGACAGCTGGCCTATAATTTATTTTTTTTAAAAGATTTATTTATTTATTACAAACACAACACCCTGTCTCCATCTACACACCAGAAGAGGGCACCAGATCTCATTACAGATGGTTGTGAGCCACCATGTGGTTGCTGGGAATTGAACTCATGACCTCTGGAAGAGCAGTCAGTGCTCTTAACCTCTGAGCCATCTCTCCAGCCCTGGCCTATAATTTATTGCATCGAGTATCACGAGCACAGACCAGCAGACGTGTGTATCCGTGTGGAGCGAAATCTCTATTTTAATATTTGGGATTACTGTTTTACTCAGTGCTGAGGGCAGAAGCTCATGCCTTGTCCATGCTAGGCAGACTTGCAGCCTCGTTCAACTTCACCCCCCTGGCCAGCATGCCTGCCAACATACGTACATGGCTCTGTCCACATTTCTACCGTCTAAACATGGCAATATTTGTTAAGCCCAGGGAAGGTGACCCGAGAGACCACAAACCGAGCTGATTGTCCTGTGTTTCCTGTCTGCCTTGATACCTCGAGCTCTGCTAGCGACAGGCTTGCTTGTGCAGTTTTTTAATCTCATTTGTTATCAGTGGGTGAGCGTGTGTGTGTGTGTGTGTGTGTGTGTGTGTGTGTGTGTGTGTGCTGAGGAGCAGTGTGGTGGTCAGAGGACAAGCCGGTAGAGTCAGTCAGAGTTTTCTCCTTCCGCATTTGTGAGTCCTGGGACCCAATTTAGATTGCCAGGTTTGCACAGTACACCTACCAAGCCATCCCACTCTCTCTGGCCTCCAGTCTCCTCATTTTATTTTTTATCATTTATTTATTTATTTTTAAAGATTTATTTCATATACACTGTTCTACATGCCAGAAGAGGGCACCAGATTGAATTGTACATGTTTGTGAGCCACCATGAGGTTGCTGGGAATTGAACTCAGGACCCCTGGAAGAGCAGTCAGCGCTCCTAACCTCTGAGCCATCTCTCCAGCCCCTCCTCATTTTATTTTATTTTTTGGTTTTTCCAGACAGGGTTTCTTTGTGTAGCCCTGACTGTCCTGGAACTCGCTCTGTAGACCAGGCTGGCCTCAAATTCACAGAGATCCGCCTGCCTCTGCCTCCCGAGTGCTGAGATCAAAGGTATGAGGCACCACAGCCAGCAACCCCTCATTTTAGAGAAGAGACTCTTGGGGTTATTGTGACAATTAATAACTTAATATACATATGTCACATGTATTGTCGTCTAGCAAATTTCCTAGAAGCTTAGTTGATAAAACAGTTATGTATTGTCCCTCAGTTGTGGTGGGGAGGGGAGAGCTAGGCATTTTCGGTTTGGGTGTCCAGGACATTGTCACCTGAAGGGTAGTCGGGAAAGGTCGGAAGGACATCTGGGGTGATGCAGCCATCTCTCAAGGTTGGTTTTCCTGTCATTTGTACCCTCTCCGCATGGCAGCATCAAGTCAGGCGGACTTCCCGTTCTGTAACTGGACAACCCCGGAGCAAGTGGCTCACGGTAAATCTTCAGGGTCCTAATGCCGCTTCTAAGTAGGCACAAATGTCTCTCTGAAGAGAAGCTGGAACAGCTTCCTCTGGCTTATGTGGGTTAGCTCTGCCGGAATGGGAGGCCGGGCATAAACGGTGACCTTTTAACTTTTC